TTACGTGGAACAATCCCTCTTCCGTACCTACACCGGCCCTAAACCCCACCTCTTCCTCCGTTACATTGATGACTGTATCGGTGCCGCCTCGTGCTCCCACGAGGAGCTCGAACAGTTCATACACTTCACTAACACCTTCCACCCCAACCTTAAGTTTACCTGGACCATCTCTAACACCTCTCTCCCCTTCCTGAACCTCTCTGTCTCCATATCGGGCAACCACCTAGAAACCGATATTCATTTCAAGCCCACCGACTCCCACAGCTACCTAGAATACTCCTCCTCCCACCCACCTTCCTGCAAAAATGCTATCCCCTATTCCCAATTCCTTCGCCTCCGCCGCATCTGCTCCCAGGATGAGGCATTCCACTCCCGTACATCTCAGTTGTCCTCGTTTTTCAAGGACCGTAACTTCCCCTCCTCGGTGGTCGAGAACGCCCTCAACCGTGTCTCCCACATCTCCCGCACCTCATCCCTCACACCCCGTCCACGCAATAAAAACCAAAAAAGAATCCCCCTCGTCCTCACGTACCGCCCCACCAACCTCCGGATCCAACGCATCATCCTCCGACACTTCCGCCATCTGCAATCCGACCCCACCACCAAAGACATCTTTCCCTCCCCACCTTTATCTGCTTTCCGGAGGGACAACTCTCTCCGTGACGCCCTTGTCCGCTCCACACTCCCCTCCAGCTCTACCACACCCGGCACTTTTCCCTGCAACCGCAGGAAGTGCTACACCTGCCCCCATACCTCCTCCCTCACCCCCATCCCAGGCCCCAAGAAGACTTTCCACATCAAGCAGATGTTCACCTGCACATCTGCCAATGTGGTATACTGCATCCGCTGTACCCGGTGTGGCCTCCTCTACATCGGGGAAACCAAGCGGAGGCTCGGGGACCGCTTTGCAGAACACCTACGCTCGGTTCGCAATAAACAACTGCACCTCCCAGTCGTGAACCATTTCAACTCCCCCTCCCATTCCTCAGACGACATGTCCATCCTGGGCCTCCTGCAGTGCCACAACGATGCCACCCGAAGGTTGCAGGAACAGCAACTCATATTCCGCTTGGGAACCCTGCAGCCCAATGGTATCAATGTGGATTTCACAAGTTTCAAAATCTCCCCTCCCCCTACCGCATCCCAAAACCAGTCCAGCTCGTCCCTGCCTCCCTAACCTGTTCTTCCTCCCACCTATCCCCTCCTCCCACCTCAAGCCGCACCTCCATCTCCTACCGACCAACCTCATCCCGCCCCCTTGACCTGTCCGTCCTCCCTGGACTGACCTATCCCCTTCCTAACTCCCTACCTACACTCACCTTTCCTGGCCCCATCCCCGCCTCTTCGACCTGTTTGTTTCCTCTCCACCTATCCTCTCCTCTATCCCTCTTCTATCCGCCTCCCACTCTCTCCCTATTTATTTCAAAACCCCCTTCCCCTCCCCCTTTTCTGATGAAGGGTCGAGGCCCGAAACGTCAGCCTCTCTGCTCCTATGATGCTGCTTGGCCTGCTGTGTTCATCCAGCCCTGCACCTTGTTGTCATAAATCCAGACCTGCCTACTTTTGGTCACCATTAAAGCAATGGAAAGAGTTGTCAACAATGTTATCAAGCAGTACTTGCAAAGCAATAAAGTGTTCACTGACACTTGGTTTGAAGTGTCAAATAATAAGTCTCTGCAGGTGATGAAAAGTGTCAGACAGTGAGTAAAGTGTCAACAGCTGAATAACCAGCAAAGGGATGACCTATAATCCGATTAAATGAGGCAGAGAGATAATTACAAAAAATTGAAAATAAGGTGGTGTGGAGACAAACCAAATGGCTGGAATAACATGATAGGTATAAGTGTCACATTCCAAGGGTCTAACCAAAGTAACAAGTAATCCAAAACTAATTAAGGTAGAGAGACCATAACAAGTTATCAAGGTGATGGTGTTAAAACAGGACAGTAAGGAAGATTTTACAGATACAGAACAGTATGGTGGGGTTATATGTAGTGCGACATGAACCCAAGATCACTGTTGAGGCCGTCTTCATGGGTACAGAACTTGGCTATCTCAGTGATTATAGGTCATCCCCTTCACTTACTATTCATTTGTCGATACTTTACACAAAACGTCTGACACTTTTGATCACCTGCAGAGACGTATTATTAAACACTCCACTCGCACCATTTGTATGATTTTATGATCTTTCTGCCCATTGATCTCTCTGCCTATAAATTCTGTGCCTGTGTCCTTTTCTTCACTTCACCTGACAAAGGGGCAGCGCTCTGAAAGTTTGTGACTTCAAATAAACCTGTTGGACTATAATCTGGTGTCGTGTGACTTCTGATTTTGTTTTATGACTAGCACAGAAGAAGATGGTCGTAGTTGTTGTAAGTCAGTCGTCTCAGCTCCAGAATATTTGTGCAGGATTTGCTAAGGGTTGTGACCTAGGTCCAAACACCTTCAGCAGCTTCATCAATGACCTTCCTTTCATCATAAGGTCAGAACTGGGGATGTTCACCAAAGATTGCACAATGCTCAGCACCATTTGCTACCCCTCAGATACTGAAGCAGTCCATGCCAATAGTCAGTAGTAACCCTTCAGCTAAGTAGGCCGAAATGAGAAAAAAAAGGTATAAAGCTTGCACTATTGGAAGATCAAGCAGATGGTAACTTAAGTTTTATCTGTGTTTTCTGAAAGGTTGTGTGTGTTTAAATTAAGTGTTCCGAATAAGTAGGCGATGGACTGAACTAGTAACACAGTATGTCTGGGTCAAGTCCTGTTAAAACAAAATCAGGGTACCAGAGTGATAATTAACCATTTGTCAGCAAAACAAAGTGTAGTTGACTGTAGGGTTGTGGTGTGTAAATATCACATGGTTGGTTGGATGTCACAAAAGCTGTCAGGAAATAGCCTATTTGAGCAGCAATGAGCAGGCTGGCCTGGGGCCAAGGTTCATTATAACTGTGAGATAAGCCTCCTTCCAGGAAAAATAAACAGAAGTCTTAACAGGGGTGAAAGATCAACTGACCATGGTAGATGCAACACACTGTGATGTTTTACAGAGCTCCCCGATTTACAAATGTCTGACTTACAAATGCTCCAAAAGAACACAACACACGAACATTTACTGTACTTACAAAAGGCTATTTAATATTGTGCTACGTTGTGTTCTGACTTGCATACAAATCAACTTGTAAATGGACTCAAGAATGGAACTCATTTGCTTGTACTATTTATGCAGTTTTTCTAGTGTACCATACTTCAATAAAGCAAAATTGGGTGTACCCTGATATCCAAAATAAACCTGACAGAGCAAGGAAATTAGGAATTAAAGCCTATGTCATATGCAAAAAGACCTGAACAATATTCAGGCTTGGGCTGACAGGAGGCAACTAGTATTCATGCCACACAAATCCCAAGCAATGACCATCTTCAACAAGAGAAAAATTGACCATTGCTTTTTGTCATTTCATGGAATTTTTTTTCTTATATCCAGAAGTGCTCTTAAACATGACCGAATGATTTTTTTCCATAAACAAATCTCCCATGGTATTTGTTTCATCCATTAACCACCTACTGTAAATCACTCGTGTTTTCCAGTTGATTAATTTATGTGCAAAGTTCATTAAGGGCATTCAATAGTATTCATAGCTGAATATCTCATTATCAACATTCTGGGGTTTACCATTGACCAGAAACTGAACTGGATGAACCTTATAAACACTGTAATTATAAGAAAATGCCAGAAACTAGCAATTCTAAAATGAACAACTCATCTCCTGTCTCCTCAATCTTCGAGACACAAATCTGGAGTGTGAAGGAATATTGTACACTTAATTTGGATGGCTGCAGCTCCAGCAATGCTCAAAAAGCTCAATGCCATCCAAGGTAAAGTAATTCATTTGATTAGCAACATACTGATAACCTTGAATCAATTTCACCAATTTCACCACCAATGTACAGCAGCAGCAGTTTGTGCCATCTGCAACTTGCACTACAATAACTCACCAAGTTTCCTTAGACATCCCTTTACAAATCCATCAACTTTACAAACTAGAAGGGCAAGGGTAGCAAAAGCATGGGAACACCACCACCTGCAATTTCCCCATCAAGTCACACAACATTGTGATTTGAAAATGTACTGTTGTCCTTCATCATCACTGGACCAAAATCCTGGAACACCCTCCCTAGTATCATTGTGGACGTGCCTACCCATGGAATGCAGCAGTTTGAGAAATCAGCTCATGACAGTTTCTCCAGGGCAATTAAGGCTAAGCAAATAAATACAGGCCTTGCCAGTGATACCCAGATCCCATGTATAAATAAAAAGTCTTTAATTTTCTCTTCTTCTATTGCAAATTGTCCTAATGAGTGCAGAATGAAAAATTTCAACAAAATATGCCTTTTACAGCAATATTTTTGATATATTTCACAGAAAGAAACTCACAACTGTATGAATAGTGGCATATGTTAAGGCGGGGACATTCTGGAATAGTATATGGCTCATTCTCTTGACTACTAATTTGTGTCAGTCTGTATCTTAATAAAATGCTTTGATCTCCTGCAACTATGCTAGCAACTCATCTGAATTAACTTATCCAAAAAGAGTCCAAATGATAATGACCTAAAGTTTAGGGAACATTTGGCAAACTAACAATCTAAAAGTTTTCCAGTCGGAAATGTTCATGTTAGCTACCCTACAGCAGTTAGTGCAGTATTTAAATATCTGTGGAAAGCAAGGTGAATGTCCCATGCTTTAGAGGTTAATAGATGCATCTTTAGAGCTGTTGGATGTGTAGGGATCTCAATATTTGTTAAAGTGATATTAATTATTTCCTATTTTTTATGGAGGTGTTCATCAAATAGAATTAAGGGAGGTGAGAATAGAATTGACCATTCGTCTAGTTTCATATAACATCAAGGTTTTAGTGTGTTAATCCTCACAATATATGCAGTGTAAAATAAATGCAATGTATATTAAACAAATCAAACAAATACAAAGAGCACTCACCCCCTCCAGGCAGTACATCCCTCTCAAAAAGGCACAGTTTATATCCATGCTGCTTCTCTAACACAGATGGAAGAAGTTCCAGAGCAAAACTCTCCTCTGTAATGATGTAATTGTTGCTCTCATCATCCTCCTCCAAGCAAGAGGTGTTTGCATATGAAACAAAGGCATCAAATTCTTTCCCATCTGGTCACAAGTAATTTGTGGTAGAGTAAGAGTGTTGGTGATGAGGGGGGATAAAACAAAGAGAATGGAGATTACTATCTTTCAGCTACTTTGAATACATTTTGAAGCTATTTCAAATGAAAATGGAGTAAATTTGGACAAGATTCATTTGTTTAAATTTAATGTGAAATTTTAGATGTAGTTAAGGTTAAGTTGAACATATGCAGAGAATGTGAAACAGGCGATATTGCGTCAGTGAAATTCTCAACATTCATTTCATCTACTTAATGGAATTTGGTATTCGGTTGCATTATAATGCTTGTTGATTCCACATAATTGCCACCAGAGTTAAACCCAGTTTCATCCGCTTAGTGAGCAAAAACAAAACCCACTCCCTTTCCTAGGAGCGACAAGGACAACATTAAGTTCAAGGTGTTCCAATTTGTTTGTACGTGAGTTAATGCAACAGAGACAAATTTAAGAAGTTTTCTCATTTCTGAAGCTGCACAATCATCAATGGTTTGCCATTTAAAGAATTGTACAGGAGAAGATTCCAATCTTCTGTTAATTATAAAGTCATCCTCAATGTTTGTTGGAACCTTCCTGATTATTGCATCAATCTTCTCTCCCTTCCTGGGGAGATTAAGTTTTCTATTTCTTATCCATCAAATATTTTGTAACAACGAGCAATAAACTGGATGTTATGACATGAGTTATTAAAAGTATGATAACTTTTGGGAAGTATAAATTAGCACATCACAAACACTCTGAAGTTCAAATGATAGCAAATTAAATATTATTGAAAAGTATTTCCTATTATTTTCTCATATAATCAAATTAATCTGACAAAGTATAGAAACCTATTTTTAAATTGATAATAATCTAAAAGAAGATATTATTCAGATAGAATATTATGTTTCTAAATAATTCTAGGACTGTTTATTTGCAGAGATTAGAAACAGGATTTCCTTTCCAAATAAATATGATATACAATTAAGAAATGCTATTGCGTTTAGAATTACATACTTGTGGAAATGAATTCTGTCAATATTTTATAACCTAGAATTTTCCTTACCTCCAATGGTTTCATCCTTTGAGAAATAATGTCGGTAAAGCAGACAAATTTCAATCCAAAATTTATAGACTCCAACACATCCACAAACAAAAGTCACAAACATTAATGATATGGATATGGTTATTACTTTGATTTGAAAGATGTTGAACTCTGAAAGAGTATAAAAGAATATCTTTTAGCATATAGTATTCAGCTTAATTAAACAAACATTTTTTCATTATTTATATTTGAATGCAACTTGTTATGATAACTCAATTTGTTAAAACAGATGAGTGAAATTTAAAACCAGGACTACACCCAGAGTTTGTTTTATGCATTAATCAAAAGCTACTGCTTCAACTTATAAAGTGCACTTAACTTAAAAAAAAACTGTCCAAGTGTTTCACAGGAACAATACATTAAAAATATGACACAGATGCACATATATTAGGGCAGATGACCAAAAACTTGTTCCAAGTGATAGGTTTCAAGGAATATTTTAAAGGTACAAAACAACGTTGAGAGTTAAGGAGGTAATTGGAAGGGATTTTTTTGGTTATTTGTTCATGTGGACGTCACTGGCTAGGCCAGCTCACTTCTATTTGTTTTGCAGAACTTACCTTCTTGAACTACTGCAATACTTGAGGTGTAAGGACACCAACAGTGACATTAGGAAAGGTGTTCCAGGATTTTGAACCAGTGACAATGAAGGAGTAACAAAGAAGTTCCAGATTAGAATGGAGTGCTTGGAAGGGAACTTACAACTGTTGGCTGTATTCTGATATTACTGCTACCCTTCTTGTTCTAGGTGGTAAAGGTCATGGGTTTTGGAAGGTACTGTCAAAAGAGCCTTGGTGAGATTTTGCAGAGCTTCTTGTACAGGGCGCAAACTGCTGCTGTTGTGCGTTTGTAATGAACAGGGTGAACATTAAAGGTGGTCGTTGAGGTGATAAACAAATGGGTTTTGTCCTGGATAGTATTAAGCTTCTTGAGTGTCATTGGAGCCACACCCACCTAAGCAAGTGGTGAGTATTCTATGACACTCCAGATTTTGTGCCTGTAGATTGTGGACAGGCATTGAGGAGGCTGGAGGTGAGATACTCCTCTCAGAGTTCCTAGTCTCTGACCTGCTGTTGTAGCCACAGTACTAATATGGCCTATTCAGTTCAGTTTCTGGTCAATGGTAATCCGCTGATATTATTGAGGGGAAATTCATCAATGAAATGCCACTAATGGTGTTAGATTGTCTCTTGTTGGAGATGGTTATTGCCTGGAAAGTTTGTGGTATGATTGTTACTTGCCTCTTATCAGCCCAGGTCATGTTGCATTTGGATACAGACTGCTTCAGTAATTGAGAAGTCATGGTTGGTGCTGAGCATAGTGCACCCATCAGTGAATATTCTTACTTCAAACATTATGATGGAGGGAAGCTCAGTGATGAAGCAAGTGAAGATGGTTAGGACACCATTCTTGGGTACTCTTACAGTGATTTCCTGGGGCTGAGATGATTAACTTCCAACAGCCACAACCATTATACTTTGTGATAGTTATGACTCAAACCAACAGAATGTTTTTTTTATCTGATTTCCAATGAGTCCAGATTTTCCAGGGTACATTGATGTCATACTTAGTTGAACGTTTCCTTGATGTTAAGGATAGTCATTCTCACCACACCAGAGATTAGACCGTAGGCAGCTGAAAGAGTGGCCACCAGTTAGTAACATCAGGGATTTGAAGAGGCTAGAATTTCAGTGCAGATATCTTGGTGGATTGTGAGGCCAGAGATGACTATAGAAACTATTTGAGCAATAAGGTCATTGGTAGATTTGGAAAGAAAATGAGGGCAATAGGGGAGCAGTCTCACCGTGAGTTGAGACACAAATTTCACAGAGGGTAGAATTAATCTGGGAGAATGGGAGTGCATGGGAATAGAACACAAATAGAGGTATACTGCCATCACTTTTGAGAAATGTGGTGGAGGAGAATCCTAAAGCAACTTAAGAGTGGGTTGTGATGTATAGATTGTCCTATGTGTATGGACCAAGGTTTTCTTCATACACCTTTTCACAACTTGCTCTATTGCTGGGCATTGCTCTTTTGCTGCTAGCAGGTAGACTTTTTCCCCAACCCAACACCCCCACATTCCACTCCCCCCCCACCACCAACCCCCTCCCACCTACACTCAACCCCCAAAAAACTCCACTGTCACCTCCTGCCTGTTATTACATTCAGCAGTTTCAGGCATGCAGCTGACAGTCTTTGGCACATGATTTCCTGGAGTTAGAATTATCATGACTCTTTATTCACTCTGCACTCTTAGTTAACACTAGATCTTAGGCACTGGACTGAGGTTGGAAGTATGTGACCTTCTTTTCCAAAATTATGCTTTATCCATAAGAATTATAAAAAAAACACAGTAAGTGTGGAAGTGCAATGATCTATTCAGTTAATTATGTTACAAGGCACTTCAGTCTGCTTCATTTCACCTACAATGCAGCTTGCAGCTGCACTTATCAGTAACAGCTCTGACTCAGTTGTTGTCACACTTCATCTCGAGAGTCAGAAGATTATGAGATAGCATTAGATCAAAGCAGGAGGCTTATAAATTTTGCAAAAAAGCCTGAAAATTGGGAGAATTCTAGAGTTCAGCAAAGGAAGACCAAGAAATTGAGAAAGAAAGAGAGAATATAATATGAATATAAAGCAGCAAAAAACATAAAATTAATTGTAAAGGCTTCTATAGGTATGTAAAAAGAAAGAGGTTAGCAAAGATAAATATGGGTCCACTACAGGCAGAGACAGGAGAAGAAGTAATTTGTGCCTATCTTCACACAAGAAGTCCCTGAAATAATTGAGATCCAAGAGTTTAGTGAGAGTATGGAATAAATTAGTATTAGTAAAAAAGTATTATTGAGAAATTAATGGGACTGAAAATAGACAGATCTCCAGGACCCAATGACTTTCTCCCTAGGGTTTTGAAATGGATGTCTATGGAGCTAATGAAAGCATTGATGATCCTCAGTCAAAATTCTATTCATTCTGTAATGATGCCTACAGATTTGAAGGTTGCAAGTGTAATCCTGCCATTTAAGAAAAGGAAAATGGGAACTACAGACTTGGGAACCTGATGTCAGTAGTAGGGAACATTCTATAATCTATTATAAAGAATGTGAATACTGGGTATTTAGAAAATAATTTTCTGATTGGACAGAATCAACACGAAATTATGAAGATGAAATTATGTTTGAGAAAATTGATGAGAGTTTTTTGAGGATGTTTTTAGAGATTTGCTAAGAGAAAACTAGGGAATGTGGCGTATTTGGATTTTCAGACTGTTTTGATAAAGTACCATGCAGGAGATTAGTAAATAAAATTAAAGCATGAGAAATCAGGGTAACAGCATGGAGTGGGGATTGGTTACCTGACAGGAAGCGGTGAATAGGAATAAATGAATAATTCTCAGGTTGGCAGGCTCAAACCATTGGGGTAGTGTAAGGATCAGTGCTTGGGCCCCTACTGTTCACAATCTATATCAATGATTTGGATGTGGGGAGCAATTGTAATATTTCCAGGTTTGCAGATGATACAAATTTTTTTTGAGAATGGGAATGCTAAGGAGGATGCAAAAAGACTTCAAGAGGATTTAAGTGGGCTGAGTGAGTGGGTAACAGTGTGACAGAGGGAGAACAATGCGAATAAGCATAAGGGTATTCACTTTCATAGGAGAGATGGGAGTGTAGAGTATCTTTTAAATCGCGAGGTATTGGAAAGTGTTGATGTCCAAAGGGACCTAGGTGACCTTGTTGAATAAATCACTGAAAGCTAACATGTAATTGCAGTGAGCATTTCAGGAAGAAAATGGTACAATAGCCTTTAAGCCAAGAGGATATGAGTTCAGGAGCAAATAAATCTTGTTTTAATTGTATAGAACACTGACGAGACCACACCTGGAGTGTTGCAGGCAGTTCTGGTCTCCTTGCCCAAGGAAGCATATACTTCCTATGGAAGGAATGCTTTGGAGGTTTGTCAGACTGATTCCTATTAGGAGAAACTGTGGAGACAGAGGCTTCTGTTCCAGGAAACTAAAAGAATGAAAGGCGATCCTTTAGAAATGTTCAAAATACTTAAAGCAATAACAGTGTGAATGCAGAAAGGATGTTTGCACTGGATGTGGGGCCTAGAACTAGAGGCACAGTCTCAGGATAGAGGGCAAGTTATTTAAGACCGAGATAAGGAGGAGGGAAGTGAATCTTTCAAATTCTCTACTCTAGAAGGCTCTGCCAGTTAAGACATTAAATAGACTCAAGACAGAGACTGATAGATTTCTAGTTAGGAATGATAGCAAAAAAAATGGGTATAGAATGGGAATATGGCATTGAAGTAGCCTATCAGCCATGATCTAATATGGTGGAACAGGCTCGTGGGGGCTGCATGGCCTACTCCTGCTCCTATGTTCCTATGTGTTCAAGTCATACTCTAGTGCTAGAATCTCCACCGAACTGTTGAAGGTGTTATCTTTTGGATGAACTTTGAAACCGAGTAAGTTCCGAAGAAGAGTCATACTGGACTCAAAACATTATATCTCTTCCGCCCTTCACAGATGCTGCCAGACCTGCTGAGCATCTCCAATAGTTTTTGTTTCTTTTTCAGATTTTCAGCATCTGCAGCATTTTGCTTCTATTAAACTGAGGCCATGTCTGTGCTCTCAATTTTATGGAAATAGTCCTATTAGAAAAGCAAGGGAGCTTTTCCTGGTGTCCTGGTTGATATTTATCTAATAGATCTCACATAGAAAAATTACAGTTTGCAATATGCAAATTGGCTGCTACATTTTTTGCATTACAAAAGTGGATTAATTATCAAAAGTTCTTCCTTGACAGTAAAGTACTTTGTATTTAGCATTGCAGTATTTATTTCCTGATGTGTACAGTCTGAGACTGTAACCTGGTTCCAGCTCCTTGGTGTACTGTGGTGGGAAGGCTCTAAATGGTTGTCACTCTTCATTGAGTCTTTGTGGGATTTGTATCAAGCTTCAATGAAACCCCTGAAACATAGTCTGGGTCTTGGAATGTGCCAGTCTACATCACTTAGGTAAAAACTGAAAGAACTGTGGATGCTGTAAATCAGGAACAAAAACAGAAGTAGCTGGAAAATCTCAGCAGGTCTGGCAC